CCAGAGAACCAAGCAGCAAATCCCGCATTTTGGGAATTTCGGGAATTTTGGGAATTTTTGGGCGCTGCCATTCCCGGTTTTTTGGCATTTCCCAGGGCCAAGCGCACGCTGGGGCTGGGCGGGCTCTACGGGGAGAACGAGCTGCAGCAGCTGGAGCAGCTGGAACAGCTGGAAAAACACCTGGAAAAACACCTGGAAAAACACCTGGAAAAACACCTGGAAAAGGCTCCGGAGCCGCGGGAATCCCGGGAATCCCGGGAATGTCGGGAACGCCGGGAATGCCGGGAGCGGGCGGCGGCCGAGCGGCAGCTGGGGCACCTCGGGGACATCCTGTGAGTGTGGAGCAGCCGGAATTCCCGGGGGATTTGGGAATTCTGGGATTTGGGAATTCCGGTGGGATTTGGGAATTCTAGGGGGATTTGGGAATTCCCGGGGGATTTGGGAATTCCGGGGGGATTTGGGAATTCCCGGGGATTTGGGAATTCCGGGGGATTTGGGAATTCCCGGGGGATTTGGGAATTCTTGGGGGATTTGGGAATTCCCGGGGATTTGGGAATTCAGGTGGGATTTGGGAATTCCCGGGGGATTTGGGAATTCCTGGGGGATTTGGGAATTCTTGGGGGATTTGGGAATTCCGGTGGGATTTGGGAATTCCAGGGGGATTTGGGAATTCCTGGGGGATTTGGGAATTCTGGTGGGATTTGGGAATTCAGGTGGGATTTGGGAATTCCCGGGGATTTGGGAATTCCGGTGGGATTTGGGAATTCAGGTGGGATTTGGGAATTCCGGTGGGATTTGGGAATTCCGAGGGGATTTGGGAATTCCGGTGGGATTTGGGAATTCCGGATGGGATTTGGGAATTCCCCACGGGATCGGGGGCTGGAATGGAAATTTTGGGATTGGGATTGGAAGAATCCAAGGAATTCCTTTTCCCGCAGCTCCAAGTACGAGGAGGAGCGGAGGTGAGCGGATCCAGCGGGGAAAAATCTGGGAATTTGGCCCATTCCCGATTTTCCCTGTGGAATCTTTTCCCTTTTTCCCTTCCCTCTTTTCCCTCCCATTCCCAGTTTTCCCTGTGGATCCTTTCCCTGGAATTCCCAGTTTTCCCTCTTTCCGCTCTCCCAGCGGATCCCCTCGGAATCCCGGGATTTCTGGGAATTCTGCCCTTCCCACCCTCTGGAATTCTCTTCCCAGCGCTCCCATGGCCTTCGCCCTCAGCACCTTCATGGCCCACGCCGGGATCCAGCCCCGGGAATTCCGGGAATTCCGGGAATCTCGGAATCCCGGAGCCTCCGAGAAGATCCCGGACAAGGACAAGTGGCTGCCCTTCTTCCCCAAGGCCAAAAAGGTGGGAATTGCCGGGAATTCCCGGGAATTGCCGCGGATTCCCGGGAAAAGCTCCGGGGGGAGACCCCGGAGTGCAGCCCGGGGCTTTTGGAGGGAATCCCGGGAATTTTCTGGGAATTTTCACCCAAGTCCTGGGAATTTTAGACCTGAATTCCGGGATTTTTGGAGCCAAATCCTGGGATTCGGGATTTGGGATGGGGAATTCAGGATTTGGGATGGGAAAATCGGGATTTGGGATGGGAAAATTGGGATTTGGGATGGGAATTTGGGATTTGGGATGGGAAAATTGGGATTTGAGATGGGAAAATCGGGATTTGAGATGGGAATTTGGGATTTGGGCTGGGAATTTGGGATTTGGGCTGGGAATTTGGGATTTGGGCTGGGAATTTGGGATTTGGGCTGGGAATTTGGGATTTGGGCTGGGAAAATCAGGATTTGGGCTGGGAATTTGGGATTTGGGCTGGGAATTTGGGATTTGGGCTGGGAATTTGGGATTTGGGCTGGGAATTCCCGGCATTCCGAGCGCTTCCAGGACTTTTTCCCAGCAGAGCAGCAGCTCCAGGAAGGAGAAGGAGCAGAGGCAGAACCCGATCCTGAAATACATCGGGAAACCCCGGAGCTGCTCCCAGAGCAGTGAGTGCTCCGCAATTCCCAAATCCGGGAATGCCGGCGGCCGCCTGGAATCCCCTGGGAATTTCCTGGGAATTTCCTGCCATTTTCCTGGGAATTTCCTGCCATTTTCCTGGGAATTTCCTGCCATTTCCTGGGAATTTCCTGCCATTTTCCTG